AATTACACTTTACTATATATTCACATAGAAAACAGATGTTTTACATTGTAAAAATATTTCACATTTTTACTGTTTTTACTGTATTTTTGATCAAGTAAAAATGCAGCCCTTTCAGACTCAAAAACATTTTAAAATCGTAATTATTCCAAACTTTTGACCAGATCATTTTGGATCACAGCTATTCTGTTCCGGCAACAAAAAAACCCGTTTGAAAACAGTCATTATCTTTGCAAAACGGTGACACACACAAACATGTCCTTCTTCTCTTAACATGAACATGACACATCATGAGTGTCCCAAGAAACGGTTTTCCAGCTGAGATCAGATTTGGAAAGGAGCGTTGTTCTGCTGAGCGTCTGTTCGGCTGGTTTCTTATAAGACTGAATCCACAGAACACACACACACACACACACACACACACACACACACTCATCCATCACAGCGCTTTCACATGCTAATGCTGGATGAAGTCAGCAGAAACTCTTGTTTATCAGCGTGTGTTTGTCACATCTATTCATCCTAACGCTCTTCTTTCTCGTCTAACGTCTTGTCTTCTGCTCAGTGTTTATCGTGACTCAATGGCACACAGTTCGAAACACTTGTACAACACAGACTTTAGTCCTGGACTATTGCGTTTATTAAATATTACTGGTGTTTACGAGGTTTTTAAGCTTGAGTCGTGTGTGAATGTAAAGCTTCCTGGTTTTCTGGAAGTATGGAGAGCATGTTCACAATAATACATGGATCTGATGAAGGATATTCCTCAAATGCAATGCAAACGCTCTGGATAAAAGCTTATCTAGAATGTAAATGTATTTCTGTATAAAGTGTGTCGTGTGCCATTCAGAACTGAATTCAGATTCCTTTTAAATTGCGATACCGTTCCTCATTTCAATCGAGGTTGCAATGTGAATTTAAATGTAAGGAAGTAAGATTTAAATCAACTGAAATTCAAACGAAGTCAAAAACACAAATGCACTTTTTAACTGAGCAAAGTTTGATAAGATAAACTTTAGATGTTGACTTGAATGTTATTTGTTTTAGCTCTATTTGGATTGTAAAGCAAGAATAACCAGTTTTATTTCCCGGTTGTCATTTCCTGAGATATAACTTGTAAAAAAAAAAAAGACAAAGTTTTAAAATAATTATTGGAGAACGTTTTACAAGAACATACTATTTCAGTCTTTCTACATCAAACATTCACATTTAATGCAATGTGTTACTTGCTGTTTCTTTGAAATTATTTGTGAAATTTACTAACAATTTCTGGGTGAAATTAGTTTTCGGTAAACAGACAAATACAAACAAAACAGAGCAGAGCACAAACACATATTTTTGCATCTGTATGTTGATATTTAGTATTCTCTCTTTGCTATGTAAGATGTTTCTGTGTGTGTGTGTGTGTGTGTGTGTGTGTGTGTGTGTGTGTGTGTGTGTGTGTGTGTGTGTGTGTGTGTGTGTGTGTGTGTGTGTGTGTGTGTGCTGGCCTAGTCTCTCACATGATTTGTAATTCAATCTCTGAATGGCCTCTAGCTCTCCGTCAGAGTCTCTGTCCTGCTGTCGTGATTTGATGCTCTTACAGTCAGTGTGAGTGTTTATGTTCTCAGTCTCATGTATTACAATCTATCTATCTATCTATCTATCTATCTATCTATCTATCTATCTATCTATCTATCTATCTATCTATCTATCTATCTATCTATCTATCTATCTATCTATCTATCTATCTATCATTATATCATTCGATCTATCTATCTATCTATCTATCTATCTATCATTATATCATTCGATCTATCTATCATTCTATGAATTTTATATAAAAATATTATGCAAAAGAAGTTAATTTCTTTTTCACAATTTTCTGTGGGTCTTTGTCTCATTTATTAGGATTGAATGGTGTTATTTAGCCTTGGGTGTATATAATATTCATGATATATTCATGATGATTTTGATGTTGATATAATGTATTAAGCAACATTGTGAGTGTTCAGAGGGTGTTTTGATATCGTCTCTGATTTAAACATCCGTTGGAATTGTGTGTGTGTGTGTGTGTGTGTGTGTGTGTGTGTGTGTGTGTGTGTGTGTGTGTGTGTGTGTGTGTGTGTGTGTGTGTGTGTGTGTGTGTGTGTGTGTGTGTGTGTGTGTGTGTGTGTGTGTGTGTGTGTGTGTGTGTGTGTGTGTGAGCTCATGGACCGAGACTGTGTTTGAATATTGTGTGATGGAGTCGAGCCGCTCGCTGTGATTAATGTGAGCGTGAGGTCAGTCAGATCTCTGCCGTAAAGATGCAGCTGAATCCTATCTCACACACACACACACACACACACACACGTATTATCTCTCCATTCATCACTTCAGACGGAGTGGAAATGTGAGATCAGGCGGTTGTAGGAATCTATTTCCAGCACACGTTACAGGACCAGTTTTACTCGCTTGATTCTCTGGGTTAGGATGTTTTCTGGACCCTGAGGTAATGGGTCAGGAGTGTGTGTGTGTGTGTGTGTGTTGTGCAGGTACTATGGATTAATGCTGGTTTGATCCCTAGAGAGGAAGGAATTGCAAAGCCTTAGTGTCCTTGCACTAATGAACTCACTCTCTCTCTCTCTCTCTCTCTCTCTCTCTCTCTCTCTCTCTCTCTCTCTCTCTCTCTCTCTCTCTCTCTCTCTCTCTCTCTCTCTCTCTCTCTCTCTCTCTCTCTCTCTCTCTCTCTCTCTCTCTCTCTCTCTCTCTCTCTCTCTTACACACACACGGGGAGGGCTGATGACATCCTCTGAAAAGGAAAGTCGTTTCAGAAGCAGAGCAAGTTATTTTTTAATGGAAGGTCATGAAGACGCTTTTATTCTGTGGAATAACACACACACAGTCATTCACAATGTGTGTTTGAGAGAGTGAAGACAGTTTGAGCTCTGAACCGACATAGATGTATTTTCTCTTCTCACACACTGTGTATTTCTATAAATGGGTCAGCTGGATTAATATCTGACTCGGTCTCTGTAATGTGAGATTAGCCTGCTAGCGTAATGCTCAGTTCGGTTCGTCTGCGTTTCACGTTCACTGCTACTCTTCTGTCTTACTGCTGAATTACTTGTTTTGTTGCACACTTCTGTTCAAAAGTGTGATGTGAAGATTAAATGATGTAAGAAATGAATACTTTTATGAAGCAAGGATGCATTAAATTGATCAAAAGTGGCATTTATAATGTTACAAAAGATTCTATTTCAAATAAATGCTGTTCTTTTGAACTTTATATTCATCAAAGAATCCTTTATCAGAGTGATTTCTGAAGGATCATGTGACACTGAAGACTGGAGTAATGATGCTGATAACTCAGCTTTGATCACAGGAATAAATGACATTTTACTATATATTCACATAGAAACAGATATTTTAAATTGAGAGAAAAAATCACAATATTACTGCTGTTTTTCATCAAATAAATGCAGCGTTGGTGAGCAGAGGAGACTTTGTTTTTGCATTCATTTTTATACATTTGTATTCATTATAAACTGCAGGTAATAAAAGTGTTGTTTTTTATTGATATAATCGACTTACAGTACGGTTCAAATACACAAACCTCTCTGTAAGACACTTCATTGTTTTGAAACCAAGTCTGGCATCACATTGAAATTAATATTTAGGAAAGGTTGCCCTCTGCTGGTATTTAGAGGAACTGAAATCAAAGGAAACCTGTAATTAGAGCTGTTTAATAACGAGATTGTTCCACACAAAATATTCTATTTTCATTTATACTGAATAATATTTAGGAACACTTTATTTCACAGTGTCCCTGTTACACATGTTACATGTACTTACTATAGTAATAAGAGTAAATTGTTCATAGTTACATGCAACCGACCCTAAACCAAACCTTAACCCTAATAATATAGTAAGTACATGTAGTTAATTACTATTACTTAGTACTTAATTACACTGTAACACACATACCTGTTACTCTTTATTTTAAGGTGTCATTTACAGTGTAATTATATATTTAAGTAAGTAATATTAAGCAACTACATGTACTATAGGGTTAGGGTTAAGGTTTGGTTGAGGGTTAGTTTCATGTAATTATGCACAATTGACTGTTATTACTACGGTAAGTACATGTAACATATGTAACAAGGACACTGTAAAATAAAGTGTTATCAAATAAAGTGTAACCATAATTCACTTTGAAACAATTTTCACTCCGAAATCGCTAGTAAATTTCACAAATAAAACATACTCCAATAATCTTTTATCTCCAATAATTATTTTACAGATGAGATCAGAAATTACCTAATGTCTTTTATGAAAAGAGCAAAACTGGGAGTTGTGAAAAATATGGTACACCGGTGTTTTGCCAGATGAGAAGTTTATTTATGTATCATCTTTATATCTCCTTTAATTCCTTTTATAACTGTTTTAATTTGCTTTTATTTTGTGATTAATTGAATTCCTTTCTGTGTAAAGCACTTTGAATAACCATAGTGTATGAAATGTACAATATAAATAAATAGACATACTAATAGTATGTCACTAATCTCTGTGGCATGTATTTTAGGTGATTTTGTTTTAATATCTACACGTCTAACGAAACAATTTTCACTCAGAAATTGCTTTTAAATTTCACAAATAAAACATACTCCTACTCCACTAATATTTTATCTCCAACATTTTTTTACAGATGAGATCAGCAATTCCCGGTTACCCTTTATTTTAAGGAGTCATTGTTACAGTGTAATTATATATTTAAGTACTGAGTAATATTAATAAACTACATGTACTTACTAGGGTTAGGGCAGGGTTTGGTTTAGGGTTAGTTGCATGTAATTATGCATAACTTACTGTTATTACTATGATAAGTACATGTAACATATGTAACAAGGACACTGTAAAATAAAGTGTTACCCAATTCCCTCATGTCGTTTAATGTCTCTCTGGCTGTTTATGTGACGTATTCTCCGTGAGTGTGTTATAGTATCATCCACACGTCTAACGTTCCCTCTCGTTTCCTCTTCCAGGTATTGGTAAAAATGTGATCTGTGATCGGACGGCGACTCCGCTGGACGCCTTCCGCATGATGTCAGCCGCCCAGTATTACCCGAAGCTGCTGAGCATCATGGGAAACGTGCTGCGGTTCCTCCCGGCGTTCGTGCGCATGAAGGAGCTCCTGGAGGAGGGATACGCGGGAGAGCTCCTGGTGTGTGAGGCGCAGGTTCACTCCGGAAGCCTTCTCGGGAAGAAGTACAACTGGAGCTGCGACGACCTGATGGGGGGGGGAGGACTGCATTCGGTGGGCAGTTACATCATCGACTTGCTCACGTTTCTGACCGGCCAGCGCGCGGCGAAGGTGCACGGCTTCCTCAAGACCTTCGTCAAGCAGACCGACCACATCCGGGGAATCCGGCAGATCACCAGCGACGACTTCTGCACCTTCCAGATGGTCCTGGAGGGAGGCGCGTGCTGCACGGTCACGCTCAACTTCAACGTCCCCGGGGAGTTTCGGCAGGAGGTCGTGGTCGTGGGAACGGCTGGGAGGTTGAGGGTTTGCGGGACGGATCTGTACGGGCAGAAGAACGATGGCCAATGTGGACAGGAGCTTCTTCTCAAGGACAAAACGCAGATAGAGAATGCATCCCTGCCCGATAAGGCTTTCCGGGACATCCCGTCTCCGTATCTCACCGGCACCATCTGCATGGTCCAGGCCGTCCGCCAGGCGTTTGAGGAGCAGGACGACCGGCGCACGTGGGACGGGCGACCGCTCACGATGGCCGCGACCTTCGAGGACTGTTTGTACGCGCTGTGCGTCGTGGACACCATCAAGAAGTCGAATCAGTGCGGCGAGTGGCAGAACATCGAGGTGATGACGGAAGAGCCCGAGGTCAGCCCCGCGTATCTGATCAGCGAAGCCATGAGACGCAGCCGGATGTCACTGTACTGCTAATGCTAATGCGGATCATGCATGCTAGCATGGAAATGGATTATAGTCCCAAACGTCATCGCTTGCTGGAGTCACGAGTTAAAGCGCTGGTCACAGCCAGGCCAAATTCAGTTTAACTGTTAATGCGACTGTTCAGACCAATGCAATGTTGGGTTGCACTTTATTTTAAGGTGTCATTCTTACAGTGTAATTATACATTTAAGTGCTGAGTAATATTATGTACTTGCTATACGGTTAGGGTAGGATTAGATTTGGTTGAGGGTTAGTTGCATGTAATTATGCACAATTTACTGTTATTACTATGGTAAGTACATGTAAAATACTGTATGTAACAAGGACACTGTAAAATAAAGTGTTAACCAATGTTTGTTTGCACATTTTTTTTTAGTGTCGGTCCAGATCCGGCCCACATCTGGTACAAGTGGACTCAACCCGCACCAGATGTGGACTGGATCTGTGCCGACTCTATATTTCTGTCTGGGTACGCATGATCCTCAAATCTAAGAATGACGAGTTAAAGCCTGGGAGATGAAGATTTGCTGCAAAATTGCAAGATGTAAACTAAGAATTCTGAGAAACATCATATTTTTCATTGACCTGCAAATTAAAAACGTATTTCTGCTTTTCTAAAAAGTATTTCAGCTGAAGTATATCAAGTATTTCTGCTTTTCAAGTGCCACCTACTGTCATTGAGTGAATCTGCATTTCATTCAGCCTGTTTTTATGCATTGGTCTGAACAGACAAATCATTAGTGATGTGTGAACAGGCCTTTAGAGAGGCTGGATTCTGGGAATACTGGAAAACTCCACCGTCCTTGAGTCGGTGCAACTGGAGGAAACATGCGTTTGTGCCTCGAGTTGATCTTGTGTTCAAACATCGGCTTCTGGGACTTTGAGTGTCCAAGCGCTGGTCAAGTATGCAATAAAACCTGCTGTCGGGAGAGAAACACAAGGCCAGGCGTTGCTGAAATGCCTCTGTTCCTGTGACGGAGAGTGCAAAAAACAAACATGCACTTTTGCTTTACAGTCTGACTTCAGTTTGAAGGTACCATTTTTTTTTTTAACATTGTTTATTGGTGTAAGTGCAACCCAGACACGGTCATCTGGCGTCTCTCAGCACGTGTTTGCATGCTAGCGTGAGTGTGTTCAATGTGCACAAGTGACTGCAAATGCATGAAATCTCCACTCACCGACCGTAAACAACAGGATTCGCTGTGTGTTTCGAGCTAGATCTGGACAAAACACAAGGAATGTCAGATGTGTATATTTATAATCTCAATGTGTGTGTGGTATCTTGATCATTATTGCTGTAAGTCTGAAAGGTTTTGAATTGGTCAGATCTGAACATGGGCGTCACATCCACCGTCAGCAGTTCTCAGCTGCTTTTGCTTTAGGATTTAATGAAATTTAATTGACATTTAATGACCCGCAAAATAAACTAAAATCAATCAAACACTGAAATAATGTTATAAACTATCAGTCAAAAGTTTGAAAAATTTATAAATTACGCTGCTCTTCTCACCAAGGCTGCATTTATTTGATCAAAAATACAGTAAAATCAAAAATATTGTGAAATTTTTTTACAATTTCAAATAACCATATTCTACTTTAATATATAGTAAAGTGTAATTTATTCCTGTGATCAAAGCAGAGTTCAGCATCATTACTCCAATCTTCAGTGTCACATGATCCTTCAGAAATCACTCTAAACTTTTGACCAGTATTGTTTAGAATATTCATATATAATAAATTCATATTATCATGAACTGTTTAGACTCAAATATATGCAAAGTTACGAAGGTGTTCGACTGAATAGGAAAACTCTTCTGCATAAATAATAGCAGAAAACACAAACCTGTATCTAATATCATCTGACTCCTTATTTTCAGTCTAATTTGATCTTTTCTACCAAACGACAGATGAATTTGACTGAAATAGTGTAAAGTTTGATTGGACGAATGATGCATTTTCTCCTTCATTTTAAAAGTTGATCAGCCCAGTTGATTCGTTGTTTTCGTCGATTGCAATCCACCAGTTGAGGACGGCTGCTTTAGACTGGACGTTGCACTTTTTGAGGGCTAGTTAATGCATAGTCAATTTTAATTGTGAAATATATAAACCAAAATATCTTTCAGACATGCTAAAGGTGCTCGAGATCTTTCAGTCTAAAGATATGATGCCTGTATTGGTCATTTTCAATAATGCATTTCTAGTTTAGGGCTTGTATTTAAATGCTACTGAACCTTTGCAGTGTGTGTGTGGCTGGAGATGCTGATGAAACTGTTATGAATGCTAGGAAATGATGATTAACGTACAGAAATGTTTATTTTATGTTCCTTTGATGCATGCGCTGAAGACGTGCGTCGACTGTTGTCCGTCACTGTGCAACTGCTGTATTCGACCCGCTGTCCATTACTGGAAACATGCTCTGTGTAGTTTATGGATGCTATTTATTTTTTATGCTGAATGTTTCATATCGAATCTGGAAGTGTGTTTATTGTGAGACAGGAAATAGTGGCCTTCTACAGGAAGTGTGACGTCCCAAACAAACCTGATTCTACTGGAACACTGAACTCTCAAAGCTTATGGAAATATTTCTTCAAGGACAAATCATCACTGTTGGACATATTTAATACAGGTGAAACTCGAAAAATTTTAATATCTTGCAAAAGTTATAATTTTTATGATTATGGCTTAAAGCTTATGAAAAACCCAAATTCAAAATCTCAGAAAATTAGAATATTACATGTATCAATTAAAAAAATAATTTTAAATACAGAAATGTCGGCCCTCTGAAAAGTGTGGTCGTGCATATGTATATAGTTATATATACTAAATGTATTAGTTTCACCTTTTAATTTGAATTACTGAAATACATGAACTTTTGCACGATATTCAAATTTTTCGAGTTTCACTTGCCTATATCATCCTCTCTCAGGCCTGTTTCACAACTCATCAAAAGCAGAATGTCAATAAAGCTAGCAAATTGACTACTAAATTGTTAATAAGAGCCATAAATTAACAAAATTAACATGTTGAGTGAGTCACTGAGAATTATTACATACTTGATCAGTATTCAATTTAATTTACGAGAAGGCAGATCACATTTACATAAACTGAGGCCAAAACACAAACTGCTGAAATCTTCTGAATAAATACATAAAAACAGCCATATCTTTTGGCTAATCCTTTAAAATTCATGTTGTGATGATGTGATCAACATCAAAGCTGCACATGGATCCATTTTGGCTATATGTCATCATGGACGTGAATAATTTAGTCCATTAATAATTGAGCTCGAGGAGGTAGAAAGCTTCTTAACGAAAGTTGTCATCTCGTAATTATGATAGTTATGACACGAAATGACACAGGAATGGAATGAGGGTCAGAAAATAATGACTGAATATTAATTTCGGGCTGAACTCTTCCTTTAAGTTGAATGAAAGGTTTAAAGACTTGCATTGAACCCAGAAGATTTCTTATTCTATTATTATTATTATTATTATTATTGACTGATAAAACTCTAAAAGTCTGTGATTCTCCGAGACTCATAATTCAGTGTTTCTTCAGTGAGTGTCAGTGATGTTGAGAATGAAAGCGCTGTAATGTCACGTTTGGTCATCATCAGAACTGTTGATCCCAGATTTAACATGGACAAACGGGATTACTGTATGCGTGAACTCCTGTTTCTGAACAAAACTCAACCATACTTAAACCTGTGAAAAAAAACATGTTACAACTGGAAGCGTTTCAATGTAAGATATGGCTGGTTGTGTGTATGTGAATATCTATACTGTCCACGCTGTGTGTGATGGAGAGCATTAAAGAAGGGATTCGGCAGTAAAACGGTCTGGCTCTGTTATTTTATGCGTTCAGTGCTCATTGACCATCAGTTTTGAATGTTTCATCTGCTAATCTTGTTTGGTTTCTTCCGTTTGTGCTTCTACATGAAGTCTCCTGCACCTTTACAATCTCCAAAGCGGTTGCAATGTTGCTTTATGCATGAAATCAGCATATTCTGACATGCAAATTCATTTGCTAAAGTCTTTAATATACCTGTATATATAGTCCTCATGTTTTATTCAGATGACTAGAAACCACCATGAGATGAGATGCATTAGTGCATTTTGAGTGAATATCGAGTAACAAAATGTAATGCATTCACAATTGCTATAATTAATGAATCTATTTCACAAACACCTGCTCTAGTTATCAGGAGACTAAAGACCATGCATGGTTAGTTTGCAGTGCTGTTATTGCCCAAATGTTAAAGAAATACTGTCTGTTTGAATGCTTAATGGATGTTTTTGAGTAGGCCTACTATATGAATATCATGAACGCATGTATTTTGAAGTGAAAGATGCCTGTTTATTGGTTGTAGAGAATGTACAGGCCATTAAGTTTGAGCGCCCATGCTAACACTGCTCTGAGTTTGAGCGCTCATGCTAACGCTGCTCTGAGTTTGAGCGCTAATGCTAACACTGCTCTGAGTTTGAGCGCTCATGCTAACGGTGCTCTGTGTTTGAGCGCCCATGCTAACACTGCTCTGAGTTTGAGCACTCATGCTAACACTGCTCTGAGTTTGAGCGCTCATGCTAACACTGCTCTGAGTTTGAGCACTCATGCTAACACTGCTCTGAGTTTGAGCGCTCATGCTAACACTGCTCTGAGTTTGAGCGCTCATGCTAACGCTGCTCTGTGTTTGAGCACTCATGCTAACACTGCTCTGAGTTTGAGCGCTCATGCTAACACTGCTCTGAGTTTGAGCGCTCATGCTAACGCTGCTCTGAGTTTGAGCGCTCATGCTAACACTGCTCTGAGTTTGAGCGCCCATGCTAACACTGCTCTGAGTTTGAGCGCTCATGCTAACGCTGCTCTGTGTTTGAGCACTCATGCTAACACTGCTCTGAGTTTGAGCGCTCATGCTAACACTGCTCTGAGTTTGAGCGCTCATGCTAACGCTGCTCTGTGTTTGAGCGCTCATGCTAACGCTGCTCTGTGTTTGAGCACTCATGCTAACGCTGCTCTGAGTTTGAGCGCTCATGCTAACGCTGCTCTGTGTTTGAGCACTCATGCTAACACTGCTCTGAGTTTGAGCGCTCATGCTAACACTGCTCTGAGTTTGAGCGCTCATGCTAATGCTGCTCTGAGTTTGAGCGCTCATGCTAACACTGCTCTGTGTTTGAGCGCTCATGCTAACGCTGCTCTGAGTTTGAGCGCTCATGCTAACGCTGCTCTGAGTTTGAGCACTCATGCTAACACTGCTCTGAGTTTGAGCGCTCATGCTAACGCTGCTCTGTGTTTGAGCGCTCATGCTAACGCTGCTCTGTGTTTGAGCGCTCATGCTAACGCTGCTCTGTGTTTGAGCGCTCATGCTAACGCTGCTCTGTGTTTGAGCACTCATGCTAACACTGCTCTGAGTTTGAGCGCTCATGCTAACGCTGCTCTGTGTTTGAGCGCTCATGCTAACGCTGCTCTGTGTTTGAGCGCTCATGCTAACGCTGCTCTGTGTTTGAGCGCTCATGCTAACGCTGCTCTGAGTTTGAGCACTCATGCTAACACTGCTCTGAGTTTGAGCGCTCATGCTAACGCTGCTCTGTGTTTGAGCGCTCATGCTAACGCTGCTCTGTGTTTGAGCGCTCATGCTAACGCTGCTCTGTGTTTGAGCACTCATGCTAACACTGCTCTGAGTTTGAGCGCTCATGCTAACACTGCTCTGAGTTTGAGCGCTCATGCTAACGCTGCTCTGAGTTTGAGCGCTCATGCTAACACTGCTCTGTGTTTGAGCGCTCATGCTAACGCTGCTCTGAGTTTGAGCGCTCATGCTAACGCTGCTCTGAGTTTGAGCACTCATGCTAACACTGCTCTGAGTTTGAGCGCTCATGCTAACGCTGCTCTGTGTTTGAGCGCTCATGCTAACGCTGCTCTGAGTTTGAGCGCTCATGCTAACGCTGCTCTGTGTTTGAGCGCTCATGCTAACGCTGCTCTGTGTTTGAGCGCTCATGCTAACGCTGCTCTGTGTTTGAGCGTTCATGCTAACGCTGCTCTGTGTTTGAGCGCTCATGCTAACGCTGCTCTGTGTTTGAGCGCTCATGCTAACGCTGCTCTGTGTTTGAGCGCTCATGCTAACGCTGCTCTGTGTTTGAGCGCTCATGCTAACGCTGCTCTGTGTTTGAGCGCTCATGCTAACGCTGCTCTGTGTTTGAGCGCTCATGCTAACGCTGCTCTGTGTTTGAGCGCTCATGCTAACGCTGCTCTGTGTTTGAGCGCTCATGCTAACGCTGCTCTGAGTTTGAGCACTCATGCTAACGCTGCTCTGTGTTTGAGCGCTCATGCTAACGCTGCTCTGAGTTTGAGCGCTCATGCTAACGCTGCTCTGAGTTTGAGCACTCATGCTAACGCTGCATGTAAAGGAAAACCACATTATTCCACATGATGCCGTTCAGAAAGTCTGATGATGTTCTTTCTCTGGATTAAACAAGGATTTTCACATTTGCTTTCCTGTCTGGAGTGAGATTTTAATGACATGAACTGAATCAGCATGAGACGCCCCTATTTAAGATTTTAAGGATCCAGCAATGCATTTTTAATTTTAATCTTAATAATGCAAATTACCCAAGTACTTCAGCCTCTACAAACTGGGTTGTGCTGGATTTGAAAAGACAAGTGAAAACAGTGGAATTGTGGCATTGGTACATTAGGATGTTATAGATTGTTGATAGATCATCCTTTATTAATCACAATGGGGGAAATTGTAATGCATAAGCAGCCAGACTTCTCATAGTTATATGTAACAATGTTAAATGATTGTGCCTTTCGTGTCATCATGGCGTTAAGGCAATAGACCACAAGATGGAGGTGTTGTATTCCAGCAAGATCTGTGATGGTGACATTCTGGGTTTCTGTGTATTGAACAGTTGTGTTAAAATTAGTGTGTTAAAAACCAGATATGAGACATGTACAAATCAAGATGTACAATTTTTAGGTCCTTACTATTTTTATATGTGTTGGTTTGGGAATGAATTCAGCATCAACATTACTTTACGATACAGAATAGCTCAAACCCCTTTTTTTTATTTTATTACTTATTAGGGGTGGAACGGTACATGTATTCGTACCGAACCGAAACGGTACGGGCGTCACGGTTCGGTGCACGAATTTACACGGAGAATACACGGTATAAAAATAAATAAAACTCGCGTGAAAATTAATTAATGTAATGCGGAACTACTGTTAGATACGCGGGTTCTTTAGGGAAACATAATCTGTACCATCGGCTTAGCTCTGAACGCGCGTTCACTTCAAACGTTGGCTTTATACGCGCGTCCTATTCGCTTTGGACTAGCGTCGAACTAGACGCGATAGACGCGAATTTAACGCTCTATTCGCGTTTGGTGTGACCACATAATGAACAGGCTGCGATGTCAAGATTGCAATGCTGGAGTGTGTGTGTTTGTGTGTGTGTGTGTGTGAGAAAGAGGCGCGGCCGCGATCGAACAGTGGAAACATAAAAAACATAGTTACTCCGTCATTTTGTTCATACAGATCATTAAACCTGCAAAGTGTTTACTTAAATTTGTGTACACTCGCAATAAAACACAACACTGTGCTTTTGTCACACTGTAAACTCTTGTCAAACTGTAACCTACAACTGTCACACAACCAAAATCTCTCTCTCTCTCTCACACACACACACACACTGTTTTAAAAGCAAAACATATTTATCCAACTCCATTTCAAAATGGAGGGTCTGTGGGTCCCATCTTTTGGACATTCATCGCATTGCATTGGTTTTCATTTCTCGTCCTCGGGGCGCTAATCTTACACATTCTACATTGATTAAAAAAGAAAATCGAATGCGTTTTTAATGGTAGTATTATTTTATACAGAAATCAATTATTTATAATTCAGATGAGAATAATGTTACATTGTTAATTAATAATGTTAATTAAAATTAAGGAAAACAAATATATTGATCTGAAATATAGCAAATTAATTTTAAATTAATTCAGGTACAATTACCAAACATCGCAAGGTCTTTTTGTCTTTTTATTAATTTAATTAATAAACTAATTATATAAAACTATTGTCAGTGCACTACAAATAAACTGGTTCTATGCCTTTATTAATAAAACTTATTTAAAAAATACAATGCCTTCTGCATTTTTGTTTTGCTTTTCCCTCCATTGTACCGAAATCGTACCGAACCGTGATGTCTGAACCGAGGTATGAACCGAACCGTGACTTCTGTGTACCGTTCCACCCCTATTACTTATGTATAAAGCAGTTTAAAATGTCCCAAACATACAGGACCTTTATTACACAATAGCAACAGTTTAGGATTACTTAATAAAATGTTTAAGTTCTATCCTTAACACAAGAAAATATGAAATGCCAGCTTGTTCAAAGAAAATCTACTTAATTTAAAGGGAAAATTTGATGAATGAATATCAAAAGGCTAAAAGAAGGAAACTACTGAGAACTTATGCGAATAAATAAATAAAGCGAATAAACCCATGTGTAATATAGCTTTATTTATAATGAAACCAAAATAGTTTACAATAATCCATCATGATTATGCAATTCACATGAATCTAGCACGTCTTTGACAAAAAATGTGTAAATGTTATTGTTAATTATATATAGCTCCCTCAGCTATAGCAAATATCATCACACCACAAATATCATCACACCACACTATTCACAGTATATGTCTGCATTTTGTGACAAGAAAAAAAAGTGAAATATGCCCAAACTCCAGAGAACATCTTTGAATAAGCTAAAGACGAGTCCTTCACCCTTAAACCAACACACACATTTAAACACACGATGGGTTTTCATGTTTTATGGGATATTTCCATGGTTATAATGATTTTTACACTATACAAACCGTATATTCTGTCCCCTAACCCTTAACACAATCTTTCTTCATTTTTACATACACCCCCCAAAAAAACAAGAATGATTTATGAACTGTTTTCCTCATAAGGATCCAAACATTTCCCCACAAGCAAATCTAGATGGCTAATAAACCTGGCATTGTATATTACAAGTATTGTTGACTTTTTGACAAATTCTGTTTTTGTTCCTCTTTCCCCAGTCACTTTGTATAAAAGATAGTCTGCAAAATGCATAAAAATAGAACGAAATTCAGATTCACACTAAAACACAAAATGTCAGTATTTTTCCTGCTAGTTACTGTAAAACAACTTAAAAACTTACGTTCAGTTGCTGACTTGAAATTTTAAGCATATTCAAATTGGCCTTGCGAGTCATTTCAACTTAAACTATATTAAACTGACTTAAAAAAAATTTAGTTGAATCTTGTATAACATATAATAACAGTTGAAATTGCTATAATTATTTTGATGAGTTATGTAATGTAAAAACATGTTACCATGACTTATTGATCACATTATTTTACAGTATGACCACATCATAGGGATTCAAAGGACACAGTTTCTGCGAAATAAGAGTCAGAGTTAAATATAAATCATACTCATTTTTAATCTTGTTAATAAATATTAACGACAGCAGGTGTGACTGGATATCCAGCTGTTTTCACAAACCTAGTTTTAGTTTTAAGGAACGATCTCCTTCCTCTCCACCCACTTCAGCTTCCAGTGGACATTATCATGAAATCTGTCTGTAAAGGTATCATTCATCTGAAAGACAGAATGGAAATTTTAGTTGATTTCACTTGACTTTTCCAGCTGATTTTAGTCATTTGCATCAAGTAGTTTTTAAATGTTTCTTTTTTAAATTGAGCCTTCAGGATTAAAAGTTAAAGCTTTTGTAATCAATAGCGCAAATGTATTTATTTCCATAATATTACTCTAAATCTAACTGTTGGGCAGGGATGATCAGGTTGATCATGTATTTCTTTATTTCTTGTAATTCCATGATAATTATGTTACTGTAAAGTTGCTTTTTCAAATAACAAGACTGATAGTCATTGAGAATCTTCACCTTCTTGAAAAACTCTTCCATAGTTGTATTTTTTTCACAATGAAGGGGCGTTGCAGAAGAACACAACATTGTGAGGATCAGTGTCTCCTTCTCAGGCTCTGGAAATAAAGATAGTTTTAAACACCAAGATATATGAGTCTGTCTGCAAAACTACTCTCAGCTCAACAAAGCACATCATTTTAATAACATGTTAGAATATCACAATCATGAAACGCAATAGACGTCAATAACAAAGCCGAACGGTAGCTTCATAAACAAACTAAATGTGGTCTCTTTACCTGTGTTTGCATGAGCAGTGGCTGGATCACTCAGCAATTTGCCCGCCACAACACGGACTTCACACTTATATTTTGTTCCTGAATTTAAACCAACAAAGGTGATGTTTGTAGAGGTTGTATTACGTGTATCAGATTTGGTCCAAAAAGCAGAGGCACATGTCACAGTATAGTTAATCGTGGCCCCCTGTGAAGCTGCTGGAGCTCCCCAGGTCACATGGATGGTGTTTTTGTCAGCGGTGGCCTTTACCCACGCGGGCTCAGCAGGTTCTGTGAATGGATTTGTGAGATGTTATACAGCTGGAAGGAAAGGCCGATAACTCATTTGCAGCAAGTGGATAAATAATCTGAAAAATAGTAATCACAATGTAATAAATACTCACTGGTGTATATGAACTCTGAAACAGTTTGACTTGACAGATTACCATTAAAAGAAACAACTGAAACGTTGTACAGAACTGCAGGCTTCAGGCCTGTGAAAGTGTAACTGTAGATCTTAGTAGTGTAAGTACACATTAGATTGTCAGTCATTGCTTGTATCGTCACGTTAAAATGTTGGGATTTCCCTTCTATTGTCCAGTAGGCTGTTATGGTTATGTTGGTGGCATTCAAATAGAGGTTTACGGGTTTTGGACCTACATGAAAAAAAGAGAAGAAAACAGGCGGTCTGTCAGAATTTAGGAAATGGCATGCAGGCTTGGACAAAATGTAAGCAGTCATTTGGACAACACAATATTTTTTACATCTAAAAACTCTTTTGGTTGTTTATGGAAACTTGTTTTAGCCACAGAATAATAATTTGAAAAAAATAGTTTCACAATTCAGACTTTTTTGCTTGCAATCCCTAGTGGGAAAAAAACCTATACCAAAATGTATTTAAAATACATTAATTTCATACTAAAAATCCTTTAACATATTTACTGAAATATTGCTTGAGACTTACTAATATAAATATTATTATTAAACTTTTTTGGAGTACTTCTCCACACTTATTAATATTAAGCATAAAATGTGTTTTTATATCATTATTAGTAATGACAGTGCAATCTTTGTATAATATCAGTCTTTAAATGCAAGAAATTTGAAGTATACTTGCAATAGTTCCACTTTAGCACAATCAATTATACAACATTTCTGGAAAACTGAAGTGCATTAAGTAAAAAATTATTTGTTCCTGACTTAAAGTATACCGATTTAGTTCACTAAAAGTACAATTGCAGGGTATTTATATTAAGTACATAAATATGTAAATGTATTTACTTGGCATAAAATAAATGTATTTCAAATACATTTTGGTATATTCCTGAACAAATTCTAAGAGAAAAAAGTGTGAGATGTAAACTACAAATTGCAAGAAATAAAGTCAGAATTGTCTCACAATTCTGTAAATAGCTGTAAACTGTAATTGATCAACTCTAAGTTTCAGGATATAAACTTGCAATTGTGAGAAATAAAGTCTGAATTGTGAAATACAAATTGTAACTACCTTTTGAAATTGTTAGTTTATATCTAATAATTCTCATTTTTCTTTCCCCTCAGAATTGTGAGATTAAAATCCAAGTCCAAACTGCAATTGTGATAAATTATCTGAATTGTGCAAAATATACTAAAAATTGCAAGAAACCAATTCTGAATTGTGAGATAAAATTTTTAGTGTTTTGCAGTTGTAGTAAGAATTGACAGTCAACTCACATTCAACTTTAACAAATGAGCTTAGCATTAGTGTCAATTATAATTGATATGCATGATATGAAATGTAATAACTGAGCATGAGACTCACATGTGTATGCTGGGATTACAACCATTTCTCCTGATAGGGTGTCATTATTTGTCAGTGCTGCCACACACAGGCAATACATGGTGCCATCGGTTTTATTCTCCTCTTTTATGAACTTATCTGTTGTAACGCTGCAGTTTGTTGCAGATTTGCAGTTAGTACAGTCACTGCTATTGTAAAGACAATATCTGTAACCTGTATGATTACCAAAAGGTGGATCCCAACTGGCTGTTATGGTGTTGCTGTCATTATTTGCTGACGTTAAGTTTAAGACAACTGAAGGTACTGAAAAATAAATACCAAAAAAAAGCAGTTAGTAAATTAAAAACATCTAGCTTTAGTCAACATCAGTGCATTGCACTGCTTTTGGAAAGCTCCGGTCACAGGAATGCTTGTTACTTGACAATAGCTATTTTATTATAATTTTAGGTTATCACATAAAAAAAGGCTTGGTGGAAATGCAGGCAAGATGCATATATTAAAAAAAGCTATTTAAAAACCTTATGCACTAATATCTAATCAAAAGAAAGATGTAAACACATTTACTGAATAAATCTACAATGCACAACAAACAACTCATGCCTTTGCCTCAAAAGAGAATGTGATTGCATTAATGGTCAACTCGACTAGGTTTGATGGCTCTGAAATGCCAAATTGGCAAATGTTTTATGCACCACTCTAATTTTGCGCATAATAAAGTTAAATTTGCAACTGGAAACATAGTTAATGATGTTCTTTCATGATACAGTCAAGCATGAATCGTCCTGCACTTACTGGTGTAATTGGAAACGCTCATTGGCACACCTCCAGTAGTCTTATTCACTATTGCTGTAACTGTGAAATTATACTCGCTTCCTGGAGTTAGACCTTTGATAGTGGACTCTTCACTTTTAGATTCTTGATCCCTTTCTGAATTCATGCTTTTGATATGTACTGAATAGAAGTCACTGTCTCCTAGTGGTTTACTCCAGTTGAGGCTGACAGTATCAGTGGTCACTCTCACTACTGTCAGACTTTGAACACCAGAAGGCTCTGAAAGAGGAACAGCATTCAGATCATTAGTAGCCATGTTGAAAATGAAAAAACTGATTGTTGTTCAATGATTAAAACCAAGCCACTGCATAGGTCTACAGAATGGTATTGAGATGTGTTAAAGTGCCCCATTATGCTCTTTCGGATATTAACTTTCATGTAATGCATCTGTTTGTGAATGTGCAGGTGAAACTCAAAAAATTTGAATATTGTGCAAAAGTTCATTTATTTCAGTAATTCAACTTAAAATGTGAAACTAATATATTATAAAGACTCATTACATGCAAAGTGAGATATTTTATTTGTTAACAAGCCATTATTTGTTATAATTTTGATGATTATGGTTTACAGTTTATGAAAACCCCAAATTAAAAATTAGAATATTGTGAAAAGGTTTTCATAAGCTGTAAGCCATAATCATCAAAATTATAACAAATAAAGGCTTGAAATATCTCACTTTGCATGTAATGAGTCTATTAGTTTCACCTTTTAAGTTGAATTACTGAAATAAATGAACTTTTGCACAATATTCAAATTTTTCGAGTTTCACCTGTAAAAGGTCTGCAAATTTTCAAAGATTGTTGTCTCCCAAATGAAAGAAGTAATTCTGAACTGTCTGAAACGAGTCGTCAGTGATTCCAGTCTTACTTCCTGCGTGAGGTTTGGAACCAATTTGCATAATGGTTTTCATTGGCTGCCCGCGAACATCTACTTTATGCATATTTTAGGAGGCTCTAAAACAAAGGTAAAACAGCACAATAGAGGCACTTTAAATAAGTAAAAAGTAAAAAAAATTCTGACAAACATACCAGATCTTACAACAGTACAATTTCCACCTTGTTATACGGCTCTCTAGAATACTTGATTCTGATTGGTCAATTTTACAAACAAACCATCTTGCAGTTATTATGGTGGAAATACCAAAATGATTTGAGTATTAATATTACTTAATTGTTTTGTATGTTGGACTATTTTCTTGATGATTGCAGGTATAATTATAAAACTATTTAAACTCAAATCAATATATCTGTCCATGCAATTATTTAATGCGAGTAGCCGTGTAATAAGCGAGATAGTGTACAGTCAGCTGGTTATTATCACAAGTTACATAAGCTCATGGTGATTGACTGTACATTACTGTGCTGTACTTTGAAAGCTTGTGCACACTGAAGTCCAAGTCTACTCACGGGTGTAGAAGGAGATGTTCTGTGGATTGAGATCCCTGCCACACTTCACTGGAAACACCTGAACCTTGTAGAGATTTCCTGGAGTCAGATGCTGTAGTTGTTTATACAGGTCAGTCTCATTAGACGTCTGTTTGGTCTGGTTCCTAGTGATTTCCACTCTGTAGTGAGTGATGTTACCCGGTGGATTACTCCAGCTCACATTGCCTGCACTTGTGGTCACATCGGAAATGTCTATTTGCCCAAAAAAGCGGTCTACGGACAGATAAGTGCAACAATGTATATCAGCAGAAACATACAAGTTGACTGCACTCTTAAAATAAAAGGTTTCCAAAGGAGGTTTGATGCCATAGAAGAACCATTTTTGGTTCCCCAAATAACTTTTCAGTAAACAGTTCTTAAAATAACCATTTTTGTCATTTTAGGAATCCAAAGAACTTTTTGTGCAATGGAAAGGTTCTAAGATCCTTCATGGAACCATCGATGCAAATATAGAACCTTTTATTTCATTTTTAATATGTCAGTCTTAGAAAAAAAAGGTTCTATATATAACCATTGGGTTCTAGACTTAATTTTAACGAACAAAAAAAGGTTATAAGGAGAAATGTCTTGCATATGTAATGGTTTTTCTAGTGATAACATGTTTACAAGCTGTTTAATTCATGAAATGAATTTAAACTAAATTAATTCATTAAAACTAAATCCCTGAATAATCCCACAATGGAACCCCTAAAAGTGTATATACATTCAAGAGCCTAACAAAAGCCTTTAAGTTTCTATAAAGATACTTTTTTCTTTATTGGCATTGGTGGTTCCATGAAGAACTTTTAACATCCATGGATCTTTCCTTTTAGTCGATAAGGGTTTCTCAGATTTCTGCACAATATATTAACATTAAATAGAAATCACAATATTGCTTAGTGCCATTTTTGAATGGCAAAGGCTGTGATTAATTATATAAATATATGCACATGTTTCAAAGTGAAGTGCACATGCGACTTGTAATAACTGTTTTCAGGGTCTTAGACCACCTCGGTTCATTATTAAGCTGCTTATTGCTCATTATTAATGAGAAGAAACTCATTCACTCCAATCACTGCGCTGTTTAAATTTTTTATGTACATATTTTGTCTGTAAATGAAGAATTTATTATATTGATTAGTATTGAAATCTTACAGTTACAAAATATAATTATTATTTTCTTTCATAATTTGGTATGTACTTGTCTTGATATGTACTTGTCTAGGCGGGACCTTGACTGGAAAAGTTTGGGAACCCCTGCTCTATGGCATCACCATGAAAACCCCCTTTTGGGACCTTTATTTTAAGAGAGTAAGAGCGTCAACAATATAAATCTTACAATATGATGCTGTGCTCTTACGCCCTGTTTACACCTGGTATTAAGATGTGTTTTGGTCGATCTGATCACAAGTGGATGACGCTAAATATCCCCTGATTTGATTGTACAACACTTTGGGTGTACAGTACATATGAAAGCGCTATATTAATGCCTCATTCATTCACATTCACATACTAATACAGGTGTAAATGATGTCTAAAATGTTATGAGCTTTTCCACTTTCAACCACTTCCAGATAGCGTAAAACGCCAAGAATAGCCAAGACCGCCTACTCTCCGTCTTCTGATCTAATGTGTAAACGTTATGGGAAGTGTGCTAGCCAGACGGGATTTAAACTCTCAGCAAAAGACCCAAGTTTAGTTTAAAGGGGAAAAACGTACCAAACACAACGCTATCTCACCATTCCTGTTTCTAACACACACTCACAGCGCTCGGCTGGTCTTGCGGCTTCAGAGCAGAAGCTAAAGCTGCTGCCGTGTGTTTCCGTCCTCTCCGTGCGCATTCATATTTAAATTGTGTGAGCTTATTTCGTCCATTTGATCAAAATATTTGAAAAAGCCCACACATTTACCCACTGATAGACCCTCCCCTCGAAGAAATCAGGACAGAAGTGGTTGAAAGTGGACAAAAGAGAACCAGGTTTAAACAGGAATGTGTCTCCCCGTCTACTTGAGATCCGATCGACCAAAACGCATCTTAATACCAGGTGTAAACAGGGCCAAAACAAAGTCCTCACCATCATAACAGATGAAGGGTAGAGTTTCGTTGCAGTTTTTTTCCTTCCACATGCCAAAGCTGAGCAGGACCACACAAGCATCCTCGATGTACACTTCAGGATCTGGCTCGGGTTCGAAGACGCAGTTGCTGGCGGTGGTGCTCTCGGTCGTGGTGCTATCCATCGTGGTGTTCTCTGTCCCAGAACCAGTTGTTGTGAAGATGGTGCTAAATGTTGTGGCGTTCGGGGTGGTGCTGTACGTTGTGGGATTTGAGGTGGTGCTATATGTTGTGGTCTTTGGGGTGACCAATGGGCAATCATGCACTGCACATATTTGAAGATCATCATATGTCATATTTAAGCATTCAAGGAATTCATCCAGTCTAGGACACATATCTGTGTTGTTAGTTTCAGATGTTGAGGAAATCTGTGGAGAGGTTACCGGAGCAGTTACTGTTGAGGTTTGTGTTGGGGTTTGTGTTGAGGTTTGTGTTGGGGTTTGTGTTGAGGTTTGTGTTGAGGTTTGTGTTGAGGTCACTGGAGTAGACGTTGTAGCAGTTATTAGGGTGCTCAGTGGACTTTGTGTAGTTGAGGGACATTTAAGAATCATTTTCTTAACTTTATTTGGCAGAGGATGACCAGGGTACCAATTCTGATATGTAACAGGATCCCCATTGGACCATCTGGACCATGGGATGGTGCCATTGTAGCTCCTGCGGAGCCCAGTCCAGTAGTCCAAAGAGAGGTTCTGCACGATGAGGTGGACATTTCTACTGGTGATGGTCGTCAGCTCTTTGAAACAGGCCTGACAGTGGTTCCTGGCCTCATCCCATGTGGTATTATACCGATTGAGTCCGGTCTCATTCAATGTGGCATTGGACTGTTGGAGTCCGGTCTCATTCCATGTGGCATCGGGGGAAATAAGAAAATAATCCTCCTCTGCCCATATGACTGAGCCTGAACGTGATCAATTGATAAACAAGCTGTCGTAACATTTGCATACACCTCAAAAAACATCACTTCTCTGAACCCTCTGGTGCTCCTCAGTTTGGGATCACACTCAAACTCCTCCCAGTCAAAAGTGTCTGAACACCTCAAATGTAACTTTTTAACTGTTTCCCCGCCATTAACGAGATTTTATGTAATCTGATGTATGTATATGATTTGCTTTAATATAAAAACAACCATTATAGAAATGCCATGGATGTAACTAGAACCATCTTTTGGTCGGTAACACTTAACATGTAAAGAAAAGCTATAAAAATGTTTGTTTGTGTTATTGTTAGCTATACTTAAAAAAAACTCTTTGGATGATTCAATTGTGAACAGTGTTTCCACATGATGGTAACATGTACTAAATGATTAACTAAATAATCAACTTCATTTGGGACATGTTTACATGACAGCGATAGCAGAAAAGTTTTTCACGTATAGACAACAACATTGTCAAAACGATCCCCATTCACACGGATCCACAAAAACGATACTAAGTCATTTTAATGCAATAATTATGATACATTTGTTTACACAATTTTTAAAATACAATTAATTAACCCATGCATTTTGTCTAATATTTTTTCCAATTAACCCCTTCATTATTATGTGCTTTTTTTCCTGCATTGCAGCTGATTTGTAGATTGTACCCCTCTAAAATTTACTGTATTTTCATATTTCCCATTTATTTCTATGGCGCCTATTTGTGACCATTAAAGGAGTACAAGTGTTAATATTTTTTTAAGACCGTTTAACCTTTTCGAATCATGTCCACAATTGTGTTCACATAGCAAGTGCCACAAAAGTCACCAAGTATCATACCATTTTGATGACATAAAAATCAAAACGCACATTTTTTTTCTGTCAAAAGTGACTGAACAGCACCAGAGGGTTAAGCAAGTTTGTCTTACTATCCAGGTAAAATATCTAGAAATACTTCATAGATCACATCTTCAATAAAAGTTAATGTTGTCTCACTGGCATTAAACAGTTGCAACAAAGCACATTTTAAGCTTACAAAACTGTTAATGGTTCACCATTTATGAATGTTACTGTGAAAACAATGCAAATATAAGGAATATTGCTCATCATTTAGGCTTGGTTATGCAAACTTTAGGCAAGCCAGGGAGTTTTTCCAGGAAGCTGTAAATGCAAACTATGATAGTGGATTATGAGAGGAACTGTTGCACAACTGTCCAACATGATAGTAAATTAATAAATGTACATGGAACCTTGCAAAAGTCTTAAGAAACATGCAAGACGTCCTATTGATATTTAAATTATCCGCAAAAAAAGTGTTAAATAAGTGGTCAAAAAGTTTGGAATAATTAATCTTTTTAAAACGTTTTTGAAAGACGACTTGTGCTGCTACATTCAAAAATATGAAGCAGCACAACTGTTTTCAACATTGATAATAATCAGAAAAAGTTATTGAGAATCAAATCATCATATTAGAGTGATTTCTGAAGGATCATGTGACACTGAAGACTGGAGTAATGATGCTGAAAATTCAGCTTTGATCACAGGAATAAATTACATTTTAAAAGATATTAAAATGGGAAAATGTTTAACAATTAACAGTTTTTACTGTATTTCGATCAAATAAATGACCTTATTTTTTTCTGAATTATCCAAACTTTTGACCTGCAGTGTATGTGTGTGTCCAATCAGCAAATATAGGGTTAAGTAAATAAAAACTTATATCAGTTTACAGACTTACTCAGGAGAAGTGGCAGCCACAGTGTCTTCATCTCACATCTGCTTCTTGACGATTCGCTGGTTGTCAATCTCAGGTCAGGGTGGGAAATGTTCAACACCTTTTTGGAGTAATGAAAACAGCATCATCAATTAACAACTTGAAAGGACTAACTAGACGCTTCAGAATAAGATTCTCCGTTGACTCACTCAGTCTGCAAAACTCTCCTGTCCACTGATCGTCCTGATCTGATTCTGAGCTCTACAGTCTGAACTCTAACAACAACCTTCTCACACTGTGACTTTGCATACGCAACCTCAACATTTCCATTGATTCTGCATGTGCAAATTACTGGACTCAGCTGAAACATGTGAACGTGTCAGAGGTGTTTTTAGGACCAGAACTCCAAGACCAATCAAGCCCAGAGGGATAATTAAGCATTAGTGATGAACACCTGCTGTTAACAAGCAGAATCACTGAATGAAAGACAAACAACAAGAACAGAAAATGTGATGAGCAGAAACACAAGAACTACAACATACTTCCAGCCACCTTAGATTAAATCAACTCAAGATAAAATACATTAAATCTCTCGTAATCTCAGCAGAGGAGGATTAAACAACTCAGCATTACCAGCTTCACTTATTACTAACCAGTTTGACCTTATTCTATCATAAGTCTACAAAAGTTCTTATTGAGAATTAATTATTAAGTCACCATTATAGTGATTAGTGTTTGCTTTAGTTGGGCTCTTGACCCTTAATTTTGTCTTTTTTGGCTGCTGTTACAACGATTATAAAATATATTTGCAATAGCAAAAGAAGCCAAGACAAAGTGCAGTCAGGTGTCTATTGATAGTGATGTAATCATCATGAAGTGGCCTGACTAATCTGAAATCCATCCACAGATTATAAGTGTTGTGTGCTAATAATACATTTAAACTTTACATTACCAACACTGTGATACTGTAGCATTTTCAGCAAATTCAGCAGTGTTTCATTAATAATGAAGTTTAAAAACATTATACTGTACCATTCAGACATTAAAAATCAGCATATGAATCTCGACAAAGGTGACAGTCAACAAAAAGCTTCATGCAACAATGCTTTCTAGTAGCATTCTGATTACAATTCGAACTATTTGCTTTTATGTTTGCTCTTGTTTTGTGATGTTCAGAGTTTATCTCAATATTTAGTTGATTTTCACCATTGGTGAGGTTTTTATGATGCGAGTTGATGTCAAAATGTGTCTCAATGCCCATTCAAATGAAACATTCAATGAACCATCAACATTATCTACACTGTAACAATTTGCCAGGCATTTACAGGATTAAAGAGTATTATTTTACAATAAATTACTGTAGTCCGAAATTTACTGTGAAATCAATGCATGCTGGGACATTTTGTCAACCGCAGAATAATGCTAACATAATTTTTGCCACAATAAATGTTTTATAAAGATAGTCACTTCACAGCAACCAAAGAACAAAAAAAAGTAAAGTCCAGGTTCAAGAGCTCAACTAAAGCAAACACGGATCACCATAATGGTGACTTCCAAAGAACCTTACATTAAAACTTCAACACTAATGGTGTTAATTATCAAATGACATGGTGCTTCTCAAATGTAGGGCTGCATCCTTCTTAGTTCAGTCCTTCTGAGGCTTTAAACGCTAGAATGAGATGGTCTAGTAAACGACCACGGCCTTCATCTCTGAAAACATTTCTGTCTTACATTTAATAGTGTACTCAGACAAGCTCTGTGCCCACTAGTTTTCGGAATTGGAATGTGTGCAAAGAATTGTGTGTGATTTAAAAAGCAAAGGATACACTTGATGCACTTGACTTCATGAACCGAATAAAGGACGAAGACAGCCTTCCAAGGATTCTTCAAATTGAGACGGCCTTCAGTGCCAGTTAATGACTTGGCATAGTGTAACAGGTCCTACTCGACCAGCTCAGAGCGGGATTTGAACTGGGGTCTCCGACGTGGGACAAGGATGCTAAAGACTGCAGCCACTAAAACATCTCTTGAGTCAAGTAGAGTGAGGTTTACAACTGGCCAACGTCCATTACACTTACCCCCTAAACCTCACTAATTTACGAGTCATGGCACCAATTCTAACCGGTCATACTCAACATGCTCTAAGCGGGAATCGAACATAGGAGGCGGACGTGCTAACAATGACACTAAAGACCGCAGCCACTAACACGCCTTTTAAAGCCAGGCGAGTGAGGTTTACACGCACAGCTCTTACTGGCCTACATCTGTTACACTCACCCCTCTAAACCTAACTCACATCCAGGTCACGGCACCAAATGTAACCGGTCCTAGTCGACCCTCTACAAGAGGGACTCGAACCGGCATCTCCGACATGGGAGGCAGAGCCGCTAAAAATGACGCTAAAGGCCGCAGTCTCTAGCATTAGTCGCTATAGGGCGCCTTTTGAAGCCAGGGGAGTGAGTTTTACACGCTCAGCTCTTACTGGCCTACGTCCATTACACTAAGAAGCAGTCTTCTGTTTGAGAAGCATGCTCAGTTTGCTAATCAAGGTGTTCAGGGTTACTTGGAAAATTAGCAGGGCTGGAGACCCCTGATCTAAAAGGTTTTATATATGAAGCGTCTGACAGAACCATTTAGGGCTCTATATAGAAACTGAACTGATTTTAACTAGTTTTATCAGGCTTCTCAAAGTGGATGAGAAACATTTGTGAAGAGCAGAAGCCAATCAATAGACAAAATGATCTTGCACGATTTGACACTTATTTGAGAATACTTAATATTCAACAATATTATTGATTTGACTGCAACTGACACTATTAGATGAGAACTGAACTGAGCTGGACAATGACATTACTGTTTTCTCCAAAGCTGATTTATAGATTAAATTAACTAAAATAATAATTGATGATCTTTACAACAGAACTGAATCAACACTGAACTGACTTCAGCCGAACAATGACACTATTCTCTTCAACCAAAATGAATTCTGTTTTGCATCACTGAATCATTTTCCTGTTCTCACTGTAAAGCTGCTTTGAAACAATCTGTATTGTATATAGCGCTATATAAATAAAGGTGACTTGCACTGGCTGCTCACTTTCTAACTCCTACTTTAACTTGTAATAAAATTCAAAACAACAAGGCTTTCTCATTTAAATTGCATAAGTGTGCAGAGTAGATTCTTAAACGTTCACATTTGGTCCATCCACTATATCTTCAGTATTTAGCTGAATCATCCAGTGCAGTAAACAGCAGCTCTTATCATAACATCTTATCACATGCAGTTTCATAGAGTTCATTTTAGTGCAACTCGTTTGCATTTCCATTCAACATCCTGTAAGATGAGACCTGGTCTGACATCTATCTTCTATCACATTTTTTAAAATCTTTTCACCCTTCCTTAAACAGGCTTTTTTTCAGCAATTTGAGAAACTTGATGAAGCTATAAAATGTGTAATGTTTAACAATTACACTTTCCAAATAATGTGATACATAATTTTAAACGTTAAAGGTGCTTCTGTCTTGCCTGCCAAACTTCCATTGCAAGCATGAGTTTTCAAAAATCCCAGATTCAGTTGTGTTTAAAGTCATCAGCCTGTTATCCCCCTTGTAGCCCAAGACTGGTTGTCCACTGAAGCTAAGCAGGATTGGGCCTGGTCAGGTCCTGGACAAGAGATCTTTTGGGAAAACTAGGTTGCTGCTGGAAGAGGTGTTAGTGAGGCCAGCAGGGGGCGGTATAGTGACGGGGACACTATACTGTCAAAGAGCACCGTCCTTCAGATGAGACGTTAAACCGAGATCCTGACTCTCTGTGTTCATAAAAAATCCCAGGATGTCCTTCGGGAAAAAAGAGTAGGGGTGTAACCCAGGCATCCTGGCCAAATTTGCCCATTGGCCTCTGTCCATCATGGCCTCCTAATCATCCTCATATACTGATATACGGCTTCATCTCTGTCTCCTCTCCACCCATAAGCTGGTGTGTGTGTGTGTGTGTGGTGGGCGTTCTGGTGCATTATGGCTGCCGTTGCATCATCCAGGTGGTGCTGCACATTGGTGGTGGTTGAGGAATATAGGTGGTTGAAACAACCCCCCCCCCCCTCCCCCCCCTCCCCCCCTCTCTATGCAAAGTACCCTGAAAAGCACTATATAAATGTAACTATTATTAATTATCATTAAATCAAATGTACAATTCTTGTTTGTTTTTTTATGGAATATTGCAGTTTTTATTAGAAATGATTTATCCATGCACAACTTTTTTAAAATTAATGTGCCTCATAATCTTTCATAAAAATAACCCCTTCCTCTTGCAGCAGCATCTCTTCTCTGATGACGAGGGCGGGGCAACCTGTCACTCACATGAGATCCACCAATAGCAAACCACGATCATCCAATCAATTCCCCACAGACATAATCAAGCCCCGCCCAACATTTGTTCTTGTTCCAGAAGCGTTTCACCCGATTATACAAAAGTCCCTTTCAAGGAAAGTCGGTTCACTCGACGGCTATATTTGCAACTCCTCCGGTTAGCAGTTTCAGGCATCCAAGACTCTTTTCACGTTCATCAGCATCGTAAATCGTGCAACGTTTTTTATGTTTCCAATTTTTTTTAATGTGCATTTATAACACTATAAGTAGTATTTTTTTGCATCAAATTAAAAAACAACAACATAAAAAAACTAGTTAATGCCGTTACGCTGCTGTGAGGGTGTTTCTAATGGCTGTGGGAGTGATGGTAAAGTTGACATCGTTCTCTCTTCTGACTGCCATTAACAATCTGAAAGTTGTGAAAACACTGTTGTTGAGTTCAAAGTTGGAACACAAAAAATATTTAATGTATATTCTTATTCACCACTGTAAAATTGTACTCAGCTATGACGACTTCTGCTTCTGAGAAACAATGTGAAAATGTTCCTTAACAGTGAATCGTCTTTCTATATCTATATTTTTTTGATTATACGTCACAATAGGGAGGAAGAGACTAGAGGAACTTCCATATCATGTCGACTTTAAAGTTGCAAAATAAGTCAATAATTAAACTAATACAATTTCAGCTGTAAAGCAATAGTGTCATTATTCAGCTCAAATGAGTTCAGTGTTGATGCAAGTTACATAACAGTTTTAAAGTTGCAAAGTTCATCAGAAGCAAACTCAATTTAAGTATAAAGCAAAAATTATATATTATAAAATGGTATGAAGTGAGGATAGCACATCATTAATGATAAAAACTATGCCTATGATTATTGTAAGTTTTTAAAGTTCACACTTATTGGCGAAT